CTGCTAGATCTTTTACTCAGGTATTCAATTAAGCAAGTAACTGAGGAAGAAGGATAGAGAGGAAAAAGAATGAAAACATCACTCAGGGGTTTATTTGTTTGTTATTTTTTAGTTTATTTTGAGAAATGAAAGAAGAGATAAACCTGCATGAGGGTTTATTTGTTTAGTTCTTAAGAATGTCCAGATAGATAAAAGAAAAAAAAAAAAAGGGATTCTTTGGCCATTTTAGGTAGCTTATCTTGAGAAACAGGCCAGTTCAATGGGATTTGCCTAGTGATACAAAACTCTAGTAAAGCAAATTTAAAGGTAATTATTCAATATCCTTCTGTCATCCCTTGTCAGGTGGGAAGTAAACAGTTGCGGTTATCATGGAGATGATGGGTTTCTTTATTGTGGACAAGGGAAGGAGGAGGCTTTTGGCCCAACCTACACAACAGGAGATATGGTTGGAGTTGGCATAAACTATGCTGCTCAGGAGTTCTTTTTCACGTCAGATAGTTTCTACCTTGTGTTATATATAAGGTCACTTGTCCATTCACATTATTGTTTGTGAATTCATTAATTAATACTGAAAACTCTTATTGTTACATTTGTTCATTATGTTGAGCAGTAAAAATGGAGCAATAGTTGGAACAGTGTAAAAGCATATGAAGGGTCCCCTGTTTCCTACAGTTTCTGTTCACAGCCAAAATGAGGAGTGTGTTGTACCTTCTGTTTTGTATATTCATAAGACTGTACAATTAGTGCAAGGGTGAAATAAGGTAGATGTTTATTTGTTCATTGTTTTACTCACTAGCTGTAAGTTGATTATGTATTTATGCTCTTGTTCTCTTATGTGGACCACCCAGTATGCCTTTTTATGATACTCTTGTTGTTGGCGTTTCAGGGTTCATGTCAACTTTGGACAGAAAAAGTTTGCTTTTGATGTTAAGGCAAAATAAGCTCATTCTACTTAATTATCCTTCTATTTTTCTCAAAGTATATTAATTTGAATTTGCATAGTCCTCTGTGTCGCTCAGTCTACAAATTTGTGAATATACTTAATGGTTTATTTTTTTTTTTTTTGTTTAAATTCTGTTTATCAATATTTGTTTTATTTCATATAAATTAGGAATATGAAGGTCAAGAAAGGATGAAGCAGCAGCTGATGATTGAAAATATATCTTTACCACCAAATATTAGTTATGTTTAAGTGTATCATTATGCTCTGAATATCTTTTGCCTCGATTATCTATGGAATGATGTGATGTTTGAGGTTAAAGAAAATTTCTCAAAGATTGGATAAAGTTCAGTGTACTGTTTTGGCAATGCAATATGGTTGCTTGCTAGTGAAATGATACTCCTTATGGTTGAGGTATTAATGATGATGTCAAGGCTTCATTGCTAAAGATTATCATGTCCCTGTTTAATGTGTTTACTAAATATTATGGCAAAGATTCAAAAATTTAGTTGCCTTTTGAAAGTGAAACAATGCTCTAGTTGGTCTCTCCTTGCAAAAATTGGTTTCCAGGACAATGGAGGATGTGCTGGCTTGTAAGCATGGAAAAACTAGGGATTGTGAAAGAGTTTCAAGCATTAAAATCAGACCATTTGCATAATGTATTTTGGGGTATATTGTTTGTAGTCCTGCATCTGTTGATGTTGACCAGCATCATCTTATGTAAATTTATACCCTTCTTAGGTTCTCTTTCATATCTGAGTTTTATACAATTACACTTCTTATATCATTACCTTTAACCAAATACTTAAGTTTCCCCATATCCATTTGTGGGTTGTGATGACTAGGTAATTAGAGTAAATGCTGTGAAAATGTTCTGACAAATTTGAGGGATATTACCTTGTTACCTCAGCATGTTGTACTTTATTCAGTTTATGTTTTCAGTAATTTACTTGTGTTTAAATGAACAGACTTATTCGCTCCTACTTATTACACTATGGCTATGAAGATACACTCAAGTCATTTGACTTAGCTAGTAAAAGTACTGTCCCGCCTGTCCGTGTTGCTCAAGAAAATGGCTTTGATGAACAGGACATTTGCTATGCCCTAAATCAGAGGAAGACTCTTAGACAGGTAAGGAGTTGTTTAAAAATAGACATGTATATTGAAGTAGTTGGCAATTATAATGGTAGTTTTAAAATTTCTTGTTATTGCTTTTACTCTTGAATTCTTTTTAACAATACAACAAATTTTGCACACAAAGCTAACATATTTCTTCTCCCAATGAAGCTAATCAGGAATGGTGAGATTGATGCTGCACTTAATAAGATTCGTGATTGGTTTCCCCAGATTGTTCAGGTGGCCTCTGAAGTTCCAGAATCTGTGTTTTATTGAACATGCTATATTGTTTTCTGATGATTAAAGTATGCATTTTGATTCAATATGCTTTACTAATGGTCATAATCCTATTTGCATAATCCTGTTTTGACTTTTAGATGGTGCCATAATGATTTTTTTCACAGCATTGAACTTGATTCTTCTAGCCATCTATCTAACTTCAATTTTTTATTTTTTCTTCATGGCTTTGTTACTAAGCTTCTGTCCCCAGCCATTAGGGACTTAATTTGTACACACCTTAATAGGATCTTCACAAGTGTTTGTTGATATTAGACAGAACTTGCTTTTGTTGTTAAGAAGGATGTAATATGATGTAGGCTCATTGATGTCATCTGACTATGTTTATTTGGAGAATTCAAGAAAAAAAAAAAAGAGGGGAGGGACAAGAATATACTTTGTAATCTCAATTAAGGATGGGGACTTAGAATCAATGCATGATTATCTTCATGTTGTGTAAGAATCGGCTTTTCTCACTGCAGGATGAAAAGTCAGCTACTTGCTTTCTCTTGCACCATCAGAGGTTCATAGAATTAATTCGGGTATGTAGTCTTTTCTTCTTTGGCCATTGACTCCCCTGCTGTTCATCCACTAGCATTTACAGTACATGATATTAGAACGCTATCTGATGTGTAGGTTGGATCGCTGGAGGAGATTGTTAAGTATGGAAGGATTGAATTGGCAAAATTTTTTAAGTTGCCTGGATTTCACGATTTAATTCAGGTTGCAAGATATTTCTTTTGTCATCTTTCCTCTGCAGACTTGAATTTGTTTTCCAGTTTATTTCATTTACAGATATGACATATGAATCTTAATTTCCTTTTAGCTCTAGTAGGACAATCTAGATAAAATTTTACAGTTTCTATGTCTATTTGCCTGGTTATTAAAGCTTGTTTACAGGCCAAATACATAAATAAACAAAGAGTCTTGTATCAATTAGTCCCTCGTTTGCAATGCCTAAGAAAATCAAGACAAGGAATAATATTCTTCTAGTTTCTTTCATTATATTTCTTTCATTATATTTCAGTTGCCTAAACTGCTTTATTTCTGAGTTGCCATTTGTCTTATTTTTCATCCTGTGAGGGCTGTGAATATTAGAGTCAGATCCTTCTCTTTTCTGATTGAGTTCAGATCTAATTTTCTCTTTTGATTGAAATATGTTGCTCTAGGAATGTGCTGCTTTACTGGCATATGTACAACTGCAGGAGTCTTCTGTTGGATATCAATCAAAATGTCACAACGTGATGTGGTGGCAGACACTGTTAATGCAATGATCTTATCAACAAATCCAAATGTGAAAGATCGTCAAGGCTGCTTGCACTCAAATCTTGAGAAGCTGCTCAGGCAACTAATTTCATGCTGCCTGGAAAGACAGTCGCTGAATGGTGATCAGGGTGAAGCTTTCCAGCTACACCAGGTGCTTAACAGTGACAAAAAGATGAAGTGCTAGCAGATAGGTAAATCGGACCTCTCCAACTCTTCATGGTTCATATCACTAAGTGATCTCTAGAGTTGACTTTACAGGCAAGCAGATTGGTTTAAACTGAGTGGAGCCACCCTAGCAATTCCCCTGATGACACACAATAATACTAAATTCTCATGGGGTGTTCTCTATGCTCTTGTAAGCTTTGTTACCTCACAAACTTTTGAAATGCTAATTCAACCTGATGCTGGCTCTACTGCGAGTACATGGATAAAACTATGACTCAAAGGTCTTAAATTGTACATGCAATGATATTTGAAACTTGTACAAGGCAAAGACTTTTTGGCTCTTGGTATAATGTGATTCTCTTGGGGAAAAAACGTTGGAGGGGAGGGGGGGTGTAGAAATCAATAGGTTTTAGTAGTACATGGGGGTTGCTGTTTGGCTCTTCAATTTATCATGGATTTTAAATCAAGCCCTCTAATCCAATATTTATATTTTTTGAACCAAGGGAAACTGGGAAATTAAGGGGAAAGAGGAATTTAATTGCAGGGTTCGCAATCGGCACTGCATTGTTTACCTGTGTAGTCAA